GGGGGGGGGGGGAGGGGAGCTGGGAAACTAGAACTTAAAACTTACACTCACGATTTTCTTCGAAAATATACGTGAGTTCCACAAAATCCGGGTGATGGGGCTTAAACACTCGGTGATGGGGCTAAGCCCCATCTGGCCCCCCCCCCTGGTTACGCCACTATTTCATACGAGTCATTTTTATGAGTGATGTTCAAAACCATTATATTAGATATCAATAAAAGATATATCAGGAAAAATTTGCTTTATTTTTAATTAAATCGATATGTTAAATTATTCTGTTCTTCAAATCATCTAGATTTTCAACTATTGTCTTCTAGACATTTATTTTGAGATGTTCATGATCCACTTGCTGCTAAAGACCTCATTAAGTAAACTACGGACTGCGTTTTGAGAGAATTGCATCTTCTAAAGAGCTAACAACAGGTGATATATTTCTCAGAAGTAGTCCGTATATAGCTTTATAATATTTTCAACGATAGGTAGATTGCAAGATGCAGATCAGTATCATAAACTCATCGTTCGTATAATCTAACGCCATTACATTTCCTTTTCTGGGAGTATCTCAAAACAATTGTTCAGAATCTTGATGATTTGAAAAACAGAATAATTTAACATATCGATTTGATTAAAGATAAAGAAATTTTTTTATGATATTTCTTTTATTCATGTCAAATATAATAGTTTTGAATATTACTCTTAAAAATGACTCGTATAAAAAAAATATTAATATCACTTTGCTAATAAGAGAAAAAAATGAATTTCTTAAATGATCATGACGTTTAAAACATCCTGTATATTGTTTTAAAGATTCTTACCTCGAAAAACATACAAGAATATTTGTTATAAAAAAATCAGCATTTTCTTTTTTTCTTTTTACTATTCTTTATAGAAGAATATGTAATTCATATTATGAAACAAAAGAAAAGTTAGTTGTGATACATAATGTTAACTAAATAACAAATAAAACTATTTTTGAGAAATATCAGTTATTTCGGAAATTGCGAAGAACTTACTGTAAACAACAAAAACTCTTCGTTTGTTTGCGAGTAGAGTGAGGGCGTGACTGATATATCAACCTATCATCCTCACTCTCAAGGTGTTATGTACTTGAAAGATCTTGATTTGGTATTGACCACATAAACAAAATTTACATTCAATAAAGATGAAGTTTTCTATCTTAAAAATGGATTTATATATGCAATTTTACAGTCGCACTCTAAAAACCGTTTTCAAAAGGAAAAAAAATGATAGGTCTCTGTTCTGTTCCAAGATCGATTTCCGCTCTAAGTAGAATATAACGTCAATAAATGATCAATGTCAATTGATATCTTTTGTATTAGTAAATGAATCTTAAATTCAAATTTGGGTAATTTTATTAATACAGTAAAACCTCCCAAAATGAACACCTCTCTATAATGAACACCTCTGGTTTGAACACATTTTTTGGTCCCCCCGATCGATTTTTGCTGTAAATAGACCTCCGCAAGATGAACACCTCCGACCTCTGAACAATGAACGCTTTTTTTTAGTCCCTTCTGTAAAAGAAAACCTCTATATAATGAACATATAGTGATTAACTGTACGTTCTTCTATGAAACACAGAGCTGAAAAAATATGCTGTTCATATTAAGGAAAGGATAAATCAGTTTTTGACGGTCAACTCATCATAATAAGCTCTGTCGTATGTATGGATCAAACAAAACAATGTGATTAATCGACGATGAGTTAATCGATTCTATATGATAGGACAACATGCATTCTATCTTCGATTGTAAAATGAAACAGAACACACACGTTAACTTTGTATATAAAAATGCAATTAATTAGTGAAAATGAAAATAACGCTTCATATCGTACAATTGCTGCGAAGTACAAAATCTCGGTCGGTAGTATCTCAATTACCGACTTTTCTTAGAAAAAAGAAATAGATGTGAATAATAGACAAAAATGCTTTCTTTTACTAGTTTTTGGTTAAAACAAAATAGATCTTTAATATTTTAAAGATAAAAAAAATGTTTTTTTTTATTTTTCACTTGATAATTGAATAAATATGTGTAATAATTGAAAAAAATAGTGTTTTAGAATTAATAGTAATAGATTTTAATATCAAGATGCATAGCTATCATTTGTTCATACTAATATTATATGGTGTATATCTAAACCTTTATTTAATATGAAACCTCTGTAAGATGAACACCTCCTCTAATGAACACTTTTCAAGCGGTCCCATTAGTGTTCATCTTAGGGAGGTTTTACTGTAGTTTATTTTCATGTAGATGTAGAAAGGATACAATTGATAAAGATGTATTGTACATCTGAATACTTTTGAATCATTGAATTACTAACTGATATTAGAATCATGTGAATAAATTTACTGTTTTCATAATTACACCTTGATGATATGAGTGTGGGTGGGCACCCGAGAGAACATGTTAATCACATTCACATCCAAATCCTTGATACCTACCCATTTATCATTTTATTTTGTGAATGATAATATATAAATACGATTTTTTTTCTCTCATTTCAATCTTTTACAATTTTTCCAAAGTAAATACAGTTACATATTTCTCTGTTTTCTCGCTGAAGTGTTATTTTCTACACAGCTGAGTGTGGGTTTGCATATGAGTGCCTTGTCTTCTCTATCAACCTCACTCACATCCACAGCCTACGTTACTCAACAGATTTTGCTGTGAAGGTTTTTTATAGGAAAGAATTTCGCCGACTAAATCTTATGTTGATAGGGATATGACTAAAGTCAGAGTGTAGGCGAGACTGAATATTAAGATGCATTAAGGATATTTCAAACACCTACACGCTCAATCTAATGTCGATGAAATGCTCTGTCTACCAAAAATTTTCGACGATTTGCGACTGTTGATAAAATTCATTTAGATGGATAACATTATTCTTTCTATTCATCAGATTTTTGTTTCTTTTTTCAAAGACATATTTATCTTTCATAATGAAGAAAACAGTTTTTTTTATCAACAATGTTTAATTGCTCAGAACTTAAGGCCATTTCATTTTACATGCATTCTTTTTCTCTTTCTTTCCAATAACATTTTTTATATATTATAAACCTTGAATGTCTTCTTTTCAATTTTTACACATTCTTTTGCAATAAAATGCGTAGTTGAAAAAAAAAGAAAAAAAGTGGCAAATTTTGTTACTTTATAAAACAAACTAAACGAATTATTTCTCAAAAAGAATATGCAGTCACACACACACACACACACACCCTCAAGATTCACCATAGAGTTCTAATAATCCTAATATAGTACCATCATAACATTGAGTAAAAGCAGGTAATACTACAATAACAGAAATATTATTTTTACGAAAATTCATCAATGCTTCATTCTTCATATAACCAATTTCCGAAGCTTGTATCGATATTGACCCATTATTATTTTGTAAATATAATAAAAGATTTGACCATAAACTAAAATTTGAATAACTATTTTCATAATGACCATTGATTAATTGACCTTTTGGTTTATACCAAATATTTGATGCTAATTGATCTGGACCAAAATCAAATTTACCTTTACTTGTAATAGATTGTATTCTAACAATTATACTTTGGAAATATATAAGAACAAATAAAATAGAAACAATAGTATTCGACTTTGAAAAGATAATCATTATTTTTTTTTGGTTGAATTCTTGAAAAGTATAAAGTGACAAAAATAAAAGTCTTCTTATAATTTCTTATTAAATTTGATAAAAGATTCATAAAATTTTAATCTTCGATCAATATATATCGAAGCTTTCCAAATCGTTAATGACGAAAAAGAACAATAACTACTGACATTAGTATTTGTAAATTTCTACCAGTATTGACTGACTGAAACGTAGAAATTGATTTTACAATTAAGTATACAATATCATTATTATCTAGACTACATTGATCACCATTTCAGTAGCGTATAAATCTTTAATTCATTACGAGTTTAGAACTCCTAAAATTTATAATTCCAGCACTCGACTATTCAACTTCTAGATCTTTTCTGTCTTCTACATTGTTACCTTCATTTTATAGCACTTCGCTTCCTCTCTGCTAGTTACACATATACTAGTCTTGAAAGTTTAAACACGAATTTACTATTCAAGTTCTACATGTATGATATGCTCTACGAATAGAATACGCAGTGCTCACAGGCATCTGTTACGTAAGTTTAAAAGACGATGAAATACACAATTAACTTTATATTTCGGTGAATGATGAATATTGTTTTCTCTTCGAAATTTTTGTCTGTAAATAAAGTCATAGTATCTTTGTTTAATTTGTTCGACACAAAATCATTCATTTTGTGTTGAAATACTTTGTTCTGATATACCAAAAAATAAATATCAAATGACTTGATAAAAAAATTATTTCGCAGATTAGTTGTTTTAACACGAAAATAAAATTTTATCTGAATCCATTACAGAGAAGCTTTATCTTATTTCAAATAATATCGTTGGATAGAGCACTCAATAAGTTTTCTTTCTCACGTAAAGTAAATAGTTCTTGTCCACCTTTCTGTTTTGAGAAAGTTTATTTTATTACAAAATAATTTCGCTTTGTACAATAATGGTATTCTATGCTCAAACTATGAAACTCAATTTTGAAGAGGATTAGGCAGATAATGTATCTCAATAGATATGCATCGGTTCCAGTAGACTAGATGCCAGTTCACCAGTCAGGACTGGAACTGGTGCATATCTAGTTACATTTCTGAATATCTTAAGAACAGAACATATAATGTTTAGATATACTGATTCTTTTTAAAGATAAATAATAACTTCTGATCATTCTTGTAATGATTTGTTCTTATTTGATAATAATCATAGACGAAAATAAATAAAATATCTGCTTGATACTCAGATATTCTCTTCGTATATCAAAGCAATAAAAATTGTACAAATCTTTATAGCCAAAATTCTTTATTATTTTTACAGTATTGATTAGAATGAAACCGTTACATTTGAGACTATGAAAAAACTGAAAATTTCTATATGTGTATATTGACTAATGCAATATCGTGCGTTTTTGTCCTATTAGAACTATGAATGATGGTATAAAACAGATTGTAGAATGCAAAACTACAAATGCCATCAGTACTACACACTCCCCCACAATCTCTCACAGCGAGCATGTGTCTATAGTGCAAATCTTCAGATACTATATACTTTTCCGTAGTCTCTTTTGTTAATCAGACAGTGCTGAATTGATCAACAACATTGCTTATATTCCTATTTCGAATGAATGAGATAATGATGCATATATGAAGGATTTGCTTCGGACTGATAAAGAAGAGGAAATGATATGTCTCTAATGGAGAACGTATCCAAGTTGTCTAAAGTATTAGAAATTGTGAGAAAACTTCTTCTTTTGCGTCTATTCAACAACATCAAATGAAATCAAGGGAATTGTTTGAACAATACGAATGAATGTCAAGAACGTATTAAGATAACAATCTCGTGCTTAGCAATATCTGAGAAAATAATGTCCGGTTTGTTGTCGTCATTGACGTTACCCACTGCTACAGACCATGGTTTTGTGAGAACTCCTGTTGCATATGTTCTTTGAGGCTGAAATATACCATTGCCAAAGTTAAGAAAAATACCAATGTTCTCTTCATTAGAGTTGGCAACGATGATGTCAGGCTTGTTGTCGCAGTTTATATCAACCACAAACACCGATAGTGGTTGTGAGTTGAGCCCAGTTGAATATATTGTTTGATTAAGAAATTTACCATTGCCAGCATTGAGAAGAACGCCAACATTACTCGCTTTAAAGTTACCCACAATCAGATCAGGTTTATTATCATCATTCACATCAGCCACAAATACAGAGTTTGGTTGTGAATCGAATCCAGTTGAAAATGTTGTCCAAGAAACAAATGTTCCATTACCGAAATTAAAGAAAATACCAACACAAGCTCCACCAGGATTTGCGACAATAATATCAGGATGAGTATCGCCATTGACATCCACTACTTGCGGATACGTGACGCCGAAACTATGCGGAACCCGGTAAAGGTGCTGAGACGGGAATTGACCAGGACCAGAGCGTAGAAAAACACCGATAGTGTTCGTATTTTGGTTTGTCACGATAATATCGGGTTTTTTATCGTTATTAACATCAACCACTGCAACTCCTGATGGATATGTTTCGGTTCCAGTTTCATAAGCTTTGGTGTCAAAAAGACCAGAGCCATAATTGAACAAAACACCAACACTATTGTCTCCCTTGTTTGCAACAATAATATCTGGTTTATCGTCATCATTGACGTCAACGACTGATATATATTGTGGACCTGATTCATGTCCAGTATATCCACTTGAGTGAGTTACTTGCTCAGAAAAATAATTACCTTGAACGTTGAAGAAAATACCAATGTTGTTTGCATTTTGATTAGCCACACTTATATCCGATCTGTTATCGTCGTTGATATCAATGAGCGATACAAAGACTGGTAATGAGTAAGAGCCAGTTGAGTACTTTTTTGGTGTTTCAAATTCCACTTGACATTGTTCTATTATAAACAAAGATTATTTTTATTACTCGTGTGTAGCAATATGTAAATATCATCTCAAATAGTGTTATAATCAACTAAGTATGAGTGTAATATATTTACTCACCCATCGAAATCGAAGACATTTGATTTATACATGAAATCAAACACGAAAAGTCTATCAAACGGAGTGAGAGTGCCATTACAAAGAGTTTATGATATATATGTCTGAGTAGGTCTTATCTTTAACATCCAGTTAACCGCGCCCATTCTGAGGATCTTACTATTAATATTTTTATATAGGAGATAGAATATAAATTTCCTCACCGTTCGTTGTACTATATATAATACAAAATCGATAATATTTTCCAATTCAATGTTCTCCTTTCTCGTACGATTCACTAAGCCTAGTTACAATCAATGGGACCTTTTTTGGCAACTATTGTAAAACTTATATCATCACTTAATCAAAAGCATGAAGTACTTAGATAATACTGACCTCTCTGTGGTGGTGTCGTGATTGTTGTAGTTTTTCCATCTAAAGACAGTCAGAAATTTATTAAAATAGAAAAATATACAAGCAAAGTAAAAAAACGTTAATAGGGTTCATGAAAATGCAACGTATAATAAACTCTTTCACATCGTATTACAACCTTTCCAAAACTCTATCTGAGCCACTTATGTATAACGTGATCCTCTTCATTACAGTGTGAATTTTGATAACTAAAAATACCTTCAATTCAATCAGAATGCGGGTCTTGCCAGTCTTTCAATATATATTATATATATACTAGTATATGGCATCTATTTTTTTGGGCTACGGGTCGCGAGAGTCGTGTGAGTTCTTATATAGATATTATATATATCTATACTAGCGGAGTTACCTGATGTTGGTTTATAACCTTGAAGACCAAATAATTCATATGTCAGATAACGACAGGACATGCAAAGAGAGTTTTGCTTGAAACTTTTCATCTAGCACTACAATATATCCCCTCACACATATCTAAAATAGAACAACTCAGGCTATGGAGCACTCCAAAGTCACCCTTTTTTTACAGATCACGTTGCAAAATCTATCCTTTTTCTTACAGCTCCCGCTCCTAATCTGTCGCCACCTCATTTCTGACTGAAAAAGGCTTAGATTTCGTGTTAGTTTCATCTATCGTGGATACACACGTCCACAATAAAGGAGGATTATCCAACGGATACCGTGTGGGGGTGATTATCTCATTTCTCAATCGTCCTCTTCTCTGTGTAACACAATCAGACCAGTGTGAAAACGTAGTAACACATGGATACTCTAAAGATCGATCAAATAAGTTAAATGAAATTCGGTTAACTTTCAACCGCTTTCCGTCTCCCCTCGACTTTTCCTGTATATAAGGAAATGCCACGGACAGTTTGGTGACTTTAGCTATCACAAAAACATCTAGGTGAAATTTCACCCAGATACTCCCTTTGCAGTCCCCGTCAGTGTCTGCAACGCTCTCTCAATTTTCCATTGGACCTGGAGAAGTACTAAGGAAAGATTGGTGACGTTAGCTATTATAGGGCTATCTGGGTGACATTTCACCCAGTCCCCCACTTCCGAGTGTGCCAACCTCTTGTCAACGTTCCTCTGGGCCTAGAGGACTCTTCTTGCAAATTGATATATATCTAAAGACTTGCAAGACCCACAGTCCAATAAATAGACACCATGTGCTAGTTTATATATATGATACTGTGGACGCTAAGGCGTTTCGTGATAAAAATGGCATTTAAGTTGCGATCAGAGTGAGGAATATTATGTGGATAGAGAGGGTGGGTGTGGAAGAATTAAAGATTGTTAAATCGCATCTATTGAAGAAACTACTTATTTTGTGAAAACCCTGAAAAGCCGCAGATTTTCGAAAAAAAGCCCTCTTTTTTGTCGCCAAAATTCAGTTTCTAATGGCAAAGACCATAGCCTCCGCTTATGGTAGCGTTCGTAAGTTCAACAAAATCTATCTAAACGGTTTACGGTAGAGTAGATCAATTTCATCCATTATTTAGAAACGTTTTTATACCGATTTCTGGGTGTGGGTGGGTATAGGTGACTAAGAAGTGAATACCCATACCGTGGTCCAGTTCCATACACACTCTCAAGAACAACTATACCTGTTATTACTGTTGTTGTTTTTCTATTCGTTTTTATTCTCCAGCAAAATCTAAGAACAAGAATTGTTAGAGCACTACCAACTATAATCCCAGCAACCACAATAAAGATCGTGCAGCACACTTTTTTTCTCTTTGGAGAGCTCCTAAAATAGAGAATATTATTGACTTTTGTAGTACAAAAATAATTTATATACACTAGTGTCATTGAAGAAGGCTGTTCTTCAATTGTATTACCGACCATTTGGTTGTTCTAAAGTTTAGTTGAAAAAAAAACAGAATTAAAGTCTTATCCCTTTATTTGTAATAAGATGAATGACATACTTCATGATTTTCATTTATTGTTTCATTGGTGTCCGACATTGTTCTAGAATTTGTTTTAGTTTCTTCTCCTATAAAAAAAAAGAATAGTATAAAAATATGATTTTCATCACTAATGTTAAAAAAACTCGCGGAGGACTACATAAATGCTTCTGCTATTCGCATCGCATTAATGAACATTCAGCGTAAGCAGTGCTAATATCTACGTATCGTCTGTATCAGACTCTTTTTTAAGCATACTGATAGTTCAAAATGTAGTCGTGAATATTATGATCATTTAACATTCATATTCATATTTGTACTACAAATCATTATCTATTGTCTTTAAAATTACATATAAAATGAAGGATTAATTAGTCAATAATTTTCTTTGTTCATACAATCTCATATAGAGGTGTAAGCCG